ACGTCAGGAAAACAAAGCCAAGTCATTTTGAATAATGAAATTTACTAAGTGTCTTATATCAAATTGATTTGGACAGTTAATGTTGTAATTGATAAAACTTGTCTGGTAAAGTCAAAATTAATGTCAGATCTATATTTTAATACATGCAAAATCATACGAGGACTTGATTGTGCTTGATTCTGCAGACATTTTAAATTTTGATGGATTAAGAAATTCAAACGTACTTATCACTTCATTCAGTCCAGTAAATCTATTGTGTAATTGTGCTAAAGCTGTAAATTGTAATATTAAAATAATCCTACGTCACTCTCAATGATCTGTCTCCATCTACTTTTATAAGTTGTTCAATAAAACAACATTATCCGTGTCCAATATACTATGACCAGTATCGAGCTGATAATAATTTACAAAATCATTTTCCCAATAATACTATTTTTAGTTCAAACGAGAAATGTTATCAAATGTTATCAAATTTAAACTCACCTTATATATTGTTAGTCGAAAATAACAACTAAGTACAAACAAAATTATCATTATTTTCCTAATATTATATTAAAATATGATCATATTAAAAAATATTTTGCTATTAGTATAGGTTCTTACATTTATTTTATTTAAGTATTAGCTCCATGTAAGAACTTGAAACGTGGGGCAATGAACCGCACTCACCGCCGTTTCTACGGCACTGCATGAGACTACTCGAGACGTAATGAGACTCCAATTTGTCTCAAAAATAGCAGTAAAAACTATTAGGTATAATATTATTTTTTAGTATTACGAAAAATAAAATAACAGTTAATATCACACTCATAAATAGAACACCTAAATGGTTATGTTTTCCAAAATGTACTATCAAAATAAATTATACAAGTACCTGCACTAATTGACAATAGATGTGACTTAATGTAACATGTGAAACCGCTTAATTTATTAAGTTTATGATATAATAATAATAATTGGCATAATACTATAATACCTTCCTCTATAGTTTAAAGAAATATGAATGATGAAAAAAGTGTTATTGAACTTTTTAAACTTGAATTCCATTATTTGTAATAAAAATGATTTGAATTTCCAGCAGCAATACGTTTAATAAAAATTTAATGTTGCACTATCAAATCTTCTATATTAGTACAACAAAGCCCATACCATTTTTTATACAATGCTTTACATGAAATATTGTTGTTTTACTAATACACATTTATTATAGGATTCTACTATGGCAGCCAGTGGAATGCAAATAAATAGGAACCAATAACAAATGAAAAAATGTTTTGATTACTTTAGATAACAGAAAATAATTAAAACAATTTTTACTGTTTAATTATAGTTTTAGATTGAGATTAGAATGTGTTGGTTTTACAATAATTTGTGATTTTATATTTATTTAGGTATATATTTTTCGGGGGTCTATCCTAACCTTTTGGAGCATTTAAAATGATTAAATATTTAAAATTGAGGTTTATTTTTGTTAGCGAATTGGATCTAGTTTGTTTTTTGATGGGTTCTAATTGAAAAAATTCCTAGTACGTACTTTTCGATAAATCATGAAAAAAAATTAAGAAAAATGGGAATATTTACTCAAAACCTGATTTCGCTAAAATTTAAAATAAATAACTTTTGAGACTTAAAATGTACACCAAATAATTGTATTATCATTTACTAGACATGATATGATTTTCAAAATAGTTTGACTTTTTTCTGTTATCGGAGAAAAATGTTTTTTTTCAATGTATTATGTAAGATATAATAATTATTCTTCTTGAGTAAAAAAGCTTTAAAAGTATACAAGGTTTTATTTAATTTACTAATACCCAAGTTAAAAAACCTTAGTAATACATTTTTATTCGAAGCATTTTAAGTTTATATTTCTTCAAAATTTATCAAATTCACTAAAAATTTAAAATTATTTTGTAATTAAGAAATATAACATTTGAAATTTAAACATCTTATTCAGACATTCAAATTGAATACAAAAATCGATAAGACATTGAATAGTTATTTTAGTACAAATAGATTTTTAATAAATTATGCAATTTTAAATGTTGTTGACATTGAATATTTTTTACGTAATACAACGATTTTTTAACATAACCTTTTCTTGTAATTCAAAAAATAATAATCGTCGAAACTTGAAAAATTTCTCTATAACTTACACTGTAATTTTCAATATTATACAGTACAATTTTCAAAATGATTTGGCTTATATTAAGCTTCATGTAGGAATTTAAAATTTAAGAATTATTTTAGTATTTTTTTTAAAGCGTTTATAAAAGGTTTTAAAAATTTGAAAATTAATTATAAGATCCTTAGATTCTTCAGATTTTTCCCATGGTCTTTTAAAAATAAACAAAATACATTGGCATAATTTCAAGTCCGAATGGAGGGATGCGAATGTATTGACTTTACAATGATGATTAACTGACTTATTATGCTTCTTTTGTGTGTGAGTACACTGTACTCACACAAAAAATACTTCTATCTTCAGCTTTGAGGGTGGTTCCTAGTAGAAAATTTAATTAAGTTGGTACTTTTATCGGGTTAAAATTGAAAATTCTCAGTATTTTTCAAACCAATCGGCGAAAACAAACAAAAAAATAAGGAAAATCGGGAATTCGTACCACGCAAAACCAGTTTTCGACAAATTTCTTTTTTGTTGTAATTTAAAAACGAATAATTGTTATAATTAATAAGTACTTGAAATTTTCACCAAATGTTTATTTTAGCATTTTCTAAGCGTGATATTCAAAATATTTTAAAGATTATGTACATTATCATACTATATTTTTGTACACATATAAAAATATAAACATTTTACATGTTTAGTATTATTCCTACTAATGTCGAAAAAAATATATTTACTAGGTTAAAAACAACGAACATTTAACACAAGGTTTTTCATAAATCATAAGAAGTTCATAGTGAAATCAAAAAATCTAAAATATTTATAAGCACTTTTTTATAGTCATTTAATGATCCAAGTTGGCCAAAATGAGATATTTAAGCAAATAATTACAATTTAATTATTCTGTTGTAATATAAAAATGTCACTCGTGATATATTGAAACTTTTGATGTACCTACCTATATTGTTATATTGTATACCTATGTACATACCTAATATACATACAATAACATTTCCAAATGCAATTTTTTAGGCAAAAATGAATTCAACATACCGTATTATCAATATTAAAATAAATTACCCAATAGTAATATAAAATATATATCATAAAATATGTTTAGTAATATAGGGTGAAGGTCTGTCAAAAGCAGAGCGGTTAGTCACTATCTACGAAGTAGATAACCGCTAACCCCAAATCAAATAAGAAACAACTGTAATATTTTACAAGTCGCATTAAATTCCGTTTTCCAATATTTTAATCGCAGACTGTATAATAGTGATATAAATGTTTTTAAAAATAAGACAATTTTTAGATTTTTTAACAAATTATTTTTTTTCTATTATTTGAAATAAAATAAAAAATCAGAGTACAATGCAATCTGTAGGAAGCCTTTTCTCAGTCAAATAAAAAAATAGAAATCAAAATCCGACAATTCAATGAAGCCTAAGAAGTAATTAATTGTTTTATATAAATATGTATACCATATCAACCCCCCTTCCCTAAATAGATATCGGAGTATTAGGAAATAGATAACTTCAAGGAATTAAAACATAGAATACAATTTTAAAATTTTATAGAAATGTGTAAGGTTGGAAAATTAGGCACCGGGCCCCTCAAACAAATATTTATGCTAACGCGTATTAAGATTGTTCTACTCAAAATAGTTTTTTTTTTTTTAAAGTGTTTAAGCATCAATTACAAGGTTATTAGCTTACGATTATTAAATAGATGGACTTACGTTATTTAGACATTATATGAGTCGATTAATTAATTTTATTATAAGTCCAAACGAAAAATCGTTTTAAAATAAATAATAATTCATAAATACGAATATACGTCATAGCAAGCAAATACACATTCCTTAGTCACCCTAAATATTTAGTTAGAGAACTTTGAATTCCCAGAAGATCTTCCCTCAAAATACAAATTACTGTACTTCGACAGTTCCGTAAGATTCCATGAAACAAATCAACACAATATTTTTGAACGGACATTTAAAAAATGAGTTTTCAATTTTTTCTATTTTATTATAGATTATTTTAAGTGAATCATGCACCATGAACGTTATAAAATAAATTAATAAATGTATGATTTTTGCCACAACAATTTTTAAATCAACTTAATATTGTAAAATAAAAATGACTCTAAAAGGTAATATAATATAACAAATATAGTTAATTAAGAATTAATCAATAATTAAAAACCAAAATAAAAAATAATGCTTTTAAAAATAAGTTTTTACTTTGTATATTTTATTGGATAATGATGAATTTTTTTATTTTTTATGTAACTCAAAATTATAAAATTAAAAATTACCACTAAATAAAAATAATTAATAGCTATTAAAAATCAAACAATTTAAATGTATAATTCAAAATGAATGGAGTAAGACATGTAACAGTTCAAACCTAACTAAAAAATTATATTATGTGTGAACCTACATTTTATTTGATATTGATGCTAAAAACATAAAGATGATTTAGTTTTAAAAAATACTTAAGGAGGTACAGTTTAAAAAAATGTAACATTTTGGTGTTTAATTAATTTAAGTTGCTTTTCAATATTTCGTGATTAGTTAATTTTTATTTTGAATTTGTTTCAATGGTATTACCTATTATGATCATATTATTATTGAGTGTACATCATATATATATTGTATACTTGTATAATAATATAATAAATATAATATAACTAATAATTAATAAATATTAAAATTAACATTTTAATTTTAATTTTAAATTTTAATACTAATTACCTAATCAATTATCAATAAATGCACTGTAATATTATGTTCAAATAAATGCCCTATTTAGTACTTAATAATATATATATATAATGTATAATATTTTTTTGCGTAACGTATATTATAAATTACCATGATGTAAGATTGATATTTTCCTCGATAATGCTTCAACAGACGATGGACTTGTGCACGTCCAACACGTTGACTGAAAGCGGCGACAGCAGCGGCTGTATAGCGCCTTGACAACGAATTTCGTATACACCCTACCGTGGTTCGTTGGGGTATAGGTGCGCTATCGGCCATCGTTGTTTTCGTGTTCTAGAATAGGCACATAATAATAACAATTTAACTGTACGTGCAAATTGTTAGAGTGTATATATGTTTACGTAATTCTTAAATAAAAAACCTCCCCTTTCCTCTCGTCATAATTATAATACACAAGGCGTGAGTATTTATGATATAATATTATAATGTATACAATATATTTTAACATCATGATACACCAATAACATGCACAGGCACGGTACTGAATCACAACATCTGTTTAGCTGACTATTTAAGGTAGTAATGTGCGCCGTCTTGGTACATATATATACCTATCAAAGATAAATATTGCATTTATCATTTATAGAAAACTATAAATTATAAAATTTTGAACGTTGATAGGTACTGTTGTTTATAAAAATATGTATGAAACATTACTATTAAAACCATCATGAAGAACTTAGTGAATCATTAGGCAAAAATTAATTTATCAATTTTATAACAGTAAATTGTTATAAATGATTTCAACAAAATTTTAAATATTGTATTTATACCTACTAATGATATATGGCGACGGAATAATAAAAAAAGGCAACGAGACGCGTTTGAGCACAAAACCAGAATACGTTTAGAGATTATTGTTTTCTACAATTAATACAACCGACAATATCGAAAATCAAACCATTATTTCCAAATATTATTTTATTGGTAATTATGTACACATTATTCGTGTGTTGGAATAAATATCATAAATATTATTAGTACCTACAATAGTACATATAAATATATAATATGCTATATATTGCTTGTATATATTCGTACAGGTGTACTTCTTAAAAAAGTACATATGTAATACTTTCATAGTTTAATACGGATAACCGATCAGATAAAAATGTCTCTAAATCGTGCTGCATCGTAAAAAATAGTACCCATTATGATGCATCATAAGTCAGTCACAAGGATCACATAAAACGTGGCTGACTTTCAGTCTTCAGAATTGCTTTTAAATTTTAATTGAGTACACTTTATATTTACTTTCTAGTTTAACAAATAAATACCCGTGGGGTGAAAACAATATGATTCCAAAACATCAACTTTAATTTTAAAACAAATTTTTCCTAGACCCTAGGTATCTGCATGTATCGTAATGTACTTAATGATTCAAATAATTAATAATAGAATGTAAAATTACTTAACTTTTTTTACATAATGAATAAAATAGGGTAGAGATCTTTGACTTAATACTATAATAACGTAAATTCCAAGTATTCCTAATATTTATTAGCATTATAAAAGGTAAGATTTTCATGATAAAGATGGATCACGGATATTCGTTTGTAAATTATAAACGTAATTTTTTCCTGACCTCTGAAGGTTTTTTTCAAGTATCTGAAAAATGGTAAGTTTAAGTTTAAATACCTATACTTGAGGCAGTGGTGTTTCTCTACTATCTAAGCAACTTCTCGGTGTTACTGCTGCAATGATTACAGCCCACGAGGGTGCCATTTGGGGTTCCACAGGCCACAGGGTTATTTTTCCCATAACTTATTTACCTTCCTTCATGTTATCCTGGTACCACTAAAGCAAAAAAAGTAATTCATATTAATATATATATTAATAAATAGATAGTTAACATTTTAGTACTAAGTCCATAGTATTAAATACATTTTAAATTAAATGCACATTTCTCTGAAGGCATAAGCAACATGAATACAAAAAAGTTGTTTGAGAAAAGCAATATACTAAATTATATTAGGCTTTTGGTAAATTTATTTTGTATTGGATGTAAAAATCAAAATGACGCCCAAACATTTTACAGTCACTTCTGTGCCCTGGCTGTGGACATTTTTCGCTCGCCTAAACATTTAGCAGCCCTATTTTAAAACTGAAATTAACTCTTTTGTATAATTTATATTATATCTTATATAAATCTACTTTCAGCATAAAAAATAGTTTTCTAATTCTGGATTACATTTTTATTCGTTAAAAACTTAATGAACCAATAGTGAGCAAATGGTTCCTTAATCATGATTTAGTGGCCAGTGATTATAGTACCTACCTAAATTGGTTAAACTGGAAATTAATCAGTTTTGTACGCGATTTGTAACCAAATTTACTAAGAATGTTTAAAAAAAATAACTGTCAACTTTTGAACACTATTTAGCTGTTTAAACTTTGTTCATAATTATTTTTGAGGGAAAGTTGCTACTACTTTTGAGGCTCTTATTACCTGTATAAACCTACGTCAGTAATATAAATATATATTTTAAACATTCATAAATTTTAATATAATATGATGTACCTAGTTATATACAATGAGTTAATTCTTTCTATTGTTTTATAAATAAAATGTCTATTTAAAAGGTAATTTAAATTTAATTTGGAAATGTAATATCGATTGTAGGTATATTAAATATTTATATGGTGGTTACGGTCTAACTGGAACATCATGTAAGTGCGAAGGTAAGTATACAACTCTGAATCATGCATAACTGCATAAGTACCTGGTTGTAAATATGTATACAAATATATTGTATTATAATGTATACTTATACACAGTGTTTGCAGTAATATGCAACGTTGAAAATTGAACAGTCGTTTAGGCATTCGGGAAATTCCCACTTGGTACCCTCATGTAGGTACAATTGGTACATGTTTATTTTACTTATTGAAGTTTTCATTTTAATAAAATAATACTACCTAGGTACCAGTTTTGTCTTTTGTACTTTAAAAAAATACACCAAATTCACATAAAGTTGACTGTCGAGACATACATTAAAAATTATGTAAGTAGGTACCTACGATCGACAAACTCTGATAGTATTCCAATAACTATTATACCAATTGACAATGACCTAATTAGTTTTTTAAGTAATTACTCGTTGGACGTTAATTGTTTCTCATTACATTAAAATACATAATAAACGATATATCATGATTCATGAGCTTAAAAAATAGATAATCGAATGAAAGAGAGGGATGCAGGCAATCAATTGAATTCTAACAGAAGAGACTAATGACTATGATATTCAGTTTCATTACTTTAATATATAGATGTGTACCATTACGGTTTTAGACCATTGAGCATAAACTATGAATTAATTAATATTAGATTCTGTAAATGGTACAATTATTATATGTATATTATATTATTATCATGTGTTGGTTTTTTTTGTACCTACCGGCTACCACCATATTTTTGAACACTTTAAATGCATCTTCAACTTTGAAAATGGTTTCTAGTAGAAAACTAGGTCCAATTGGTAATTTGGGAAGACAAAAATAGAAAATGATCAGCATTTTTTAATTATGATTCAAAAAACTAACAAAAAACACACGAAAAACGGAAATATTTACTCAACACCCACAGTTATAGAAAAGTCGATTTCGCTATTTTGTTGTTATTCAAAAATGGGTATCTACGACCTACCTAAACTTAGATTTTTCCTTAAATATTTAAATTTACATTTTCTACAAATGATATAATTTTCAAAATGTTTCGGCTTATTTTGAATAATGCATTGACATTTAAAATTGTTTTCTATTATTTGTTCTTTTTCAATGTGTGTTTGAAAATGTATTATAAGATTCCTCATAAATTAGTTTAAGTCTTCGTAAGTCTTACAAAAATTAAAAAATATACTAAAATCATACATTTTTTATCAGTATCAAATGTTAAAATTTTGTTAAAATTAAAAAAAAACCACGAACATTTTAATATTATTTTGTAATTAAAAATGCATACTGTTAAAATCAGAAACTTGAAATTTAGTTTCTTGTTTTCTCATAAGTTTATTACTAGAATTAAAATTTAAAAGTACTGAGAATACATTAAAAGCATAATTTCTTGTTATCGTTATTACCTAAGTGAAGTAAAAATTGGATACTTATTTAAATCAAAAAATAACAATTTTTCTTCAAACGACTTATTTTGTCATGACTTATTTAATCGTGTTTCGTTAATACATTTTTTCCATAGACGGTTTATTACTGTAGGTAAGTATTCATTTTTATAATTTTGAGATACCTAGGTAGATATTTAGACTGATTTTATGCTATTTATGTACAGCGAACCTAGGTATATTCACACCAAACTACGGTTCGTGGTACTAACTTATAAATAAATTCAACTACCTATATCAATAATTTATTCATACCTGCCCATATGATAAAATATTAATGAAGATTATAATATTAATATTTTTAATATTATTTTATATATGAGATGTTGTAGACAGAAATTAATTTAACACACCGTATACTTATTAAATATTTAATAGGTAATATTATATGTGCATAAATTATAGAATATCCTTAGAAGTAGGGATTTAATAAAAACCATTAAACTCATCAATCATTATAATGTCCTACCAGTACTCCATGACGAGGTAGGTGCATACTACAATGGTACACTCAAAACCCTGAATCAGTAGAATGATTTCTAGGTTTTTTACATTTAAATGGCTTTAAACGACAATAATATCAGTTTTAATAATTCTTAGTCATACACTTATTAAATCGTGTTTCTGTACATTTCCTACATTTAGTTTACTTCACTCAATACCTACCTATTTTGTATTATCTAGGTTCTAGGTGTATTATAGTAGATATTTAATTAGATAGGTAATTAAACTTAAATAGGTAAACATTACATAGGCGATATTGCGATAAGCGTATCTACGGGTCGTGCCTATCATAAACATACACGACCTACGAAATTTGAAAAACGTGTGTAAATGTGATAAGTACCAATAATATTGCGGTTTCTTTTAAATATTAATATTTTTATAATCATTTTTATGTCTTTTATAAATCATTATTTTCTGTAGGTAGGTACTCACATTCACAGGAAGGAAATAATAATTTTTTTTTTTTTAATTATGCGGGTCAAACTAGTTATTGTAATGCTACCTACCTTCCACCGGGTGTCATATGTATATTTTGCACAATCTGTGAAAAAATTATCGACGAACATATGCAATTCTATACTTACATGTAGTTAGGGCCTAGGTATGTGAATTACTGTAAGTTACATATTATATTAAGCCAAATCGGGACGCCGCTGGGGAGATTTGTTTGCTATTAACAACACTGTCCGCAGCGTTCAGCCATTCACTTCCTGTTGGTCACTACTCCGTTGGAGGTAGTTCCGATCATTTTTCTTCCACGCTCAACGATAGCGTTTAGGCGCAGATAATGCGTTTCGATGGTGAGTCGTACAACCGTGTGATACAGATCGACTGGGGGGGAAAGTACCAGCCGGCCAATCAAAATCGCCCACATTACTTTTGATTACAATATCAACCGGAGGTTGACACAACGCGTATATTATTTGAAAACGAATCATAAGACTAGTAGAATTAATATATTTTATGCTCCGCGGAAAGTGTTCGTCTGTGAAATGTGAAGTTCTTAAAATGAATTTATGTTCGATCAAATTTAAATTACTGATTTGTTAGGGAAAAAGTAAAATACCTGTTCGGCGATTTTTAATTTCTAGTCACTGGTAAATCTAACTCGTTGTCTTATTGGTTTTTTTTGTTACTCGAAAATTCAATAAAATGTTTTTAAATAACGTTGTATTCGTCGTTTACAATTTGTTGACGTTTTCCATTTTGGCATATTGCAAGTAAGTATATTTACCTACTTTGTTTAGTTGGTATAACGATAATGACATAACGCCCATGACGAGTATGAAGTGATTCTTTGTATATTGTGCATAAATATACGGAAGAAGATATAAATAAGAAATTTTTATATAATATTGAGTGGTTTTAAAAACAAATTATGGTTTTTAATAGCAAATAATTACCTGCAGTACTTGATACTTTACTACATACCTTAGTTGTCATTTATGATATAAATTATAAGCACGAATATAATATATTGAATAAAACTATACTAATTTATACCACACATTCCTTGCGTTCTTTTACAAATAGTAATGTGATATATATTGTTTGTACTTTTCTTTTTGATTTTATAGTAAATATTGTGGTATTACGTAGGAACTTATATTTGTCTATTTAAACTAACAATCATTTTATTTATTAGTGTTATTATAAATTTGTCGTGTAGACGTACACCAACAGTGTTAATAATATATAGAACCCATCTTAAATACTAAAATTATGGCCAGAAGTGCTGCTATTTAAAAATCTATCCTGTATAAAATGTGTATAGTAAGCTGTTGTGTATCTGTGTTCATGTATGTGTAATATGTACGTATAAGATATCTTGGAGATATCATTACAGTTCCACCACTCGGTTTTAGAGAAGCTCTTAAATGTCAAATTTCACCCCAGAATTGTAGATTGACAATGCCCCAATATAGAAATTCACTTTTCCGTGGTTGCTGTGCAGCCTCATTCTGTGGATAATCAATAGTTAACTGTAATATGAAAGTACATATTAATCTTGTAAAATACTAGATAATATCAATTAGGTACATGCTTTAAAAAAGAAAAAATATTTGTTTTATCCCAGTGTTCTAGTTAATTTGGCTTACATATATCATTCACAGTTTAACATCAGTAACATAAAATAAAATAGGTACAAATAATAAAATTTATAAATAAATAAAAGATAGCTAAATAATAACAGATTACATAAGTAATATGTTTATTGGTTATGAGTGTGTGATTTGCATAGGTCTTTTACTAAATTTGTTTGTCCAGGGAATTCAGCCGTTGCACTGTATCTGTTGTGGCTCTGTGTAGTTCTTTCATTCCTTCCTGTAATCGTTGAATATTACATTCATCAATGATGTGTGTAGAAGTTTGCTCTTTTTGTGTCCGCAACCACATCCTGGGGAGGGTTTCAATCTCTATTTGTAGGACATGTATCCCATCCTTCGGTAGCCCGTTCGAAATCTATTAATTAGTTTGAGTTTGTCACGATTACTGCTTTTCCATTCCGTGTTTACATTGAATTTTTCTAATAATAATTTTTGGGCAAGCCTCCAGGTAGGTTTAATAGATTTTAGTCTTACGTTAAGACCAGTGTTTGTATCATTATGTATTGGGAGCAGTGTATTTAAAAAGCATTTAGTCCACTCTCATATTAGTAAGTTGTATCGATGTAGATGAGGTGGACTTAAGTTACTAAGTACAGGCAGCTGAGCTATGGGGGTAGATTTAAGTGCTCCAGTGATAATTCTCATAGCAGAGTTAGTGTAGTATCTACTTTACTTGTGTAGTCACTCTGTAGCCATACTGGTGAGCAATAGTCAGCTTCCAATCGTGTAAGTGCTACTGTTGATATTCTGAGTTTGCTAGTTTTTGAATGATATTGTTCCTTGTTTTCAGTTTTGCAGCAGTTTTTGTCAGGTGTTTTTTGTAGGTAAGGGTTCCATCCAAGGTTACCCCGAGATATTTGGGGTATCAGCTATTGGTAATCACCTGTCCATCAAAAAATATGTCAATTTTGTGATTAGCCATTTTATTGTAAAGATGAAACAGGGTTACCTCTGTCGCCTTTACAATATCAACATTTTTTTCTAATGGACAGGTGATTAAAAATTGGATATAATATAAAACAATATACATAAATTTGTACTTCATACAAAAATATTACTAAGTGGTTATCTGAATTATTATTGGTACATTAAAAAAAAAAAATTATTTAAAGACCATACCTCATTTATTCATTTAAACCATAGACCTTATACTACTAGATATGAACTGTGTATAACAACAGCCAGTGGGCTGCCTAACAACATCTCTCTGTGATGTAGGCTGTCTTTACAAAACAAAATACAATAATCTATATACCTATATAACTTACCCTACAACCCCGCACTATAGTGCTTACAAATAATTGAGTAATCAAAAAGCACCCTATATGTTGTTACGTTTTCCATACACTCATTGCTTGTCTAGTAGTACAAGATTTAAGCACAAGTATCATAAATTCATAAATATATTAACATTTAAAATTATCAACAAAAATAAAGAATTAAAAAAAAATTGTGTTGAATAAGTTAGGTTTGTTTAAAATCAGGTTTGGATTGATTAGATTTAAAAGATAGAAAAATAGAACTTACATGGTTGTTAATGTATTTCATTTAGTTTTTATTAAACTGCCACAAACTTCATTTTGCGTTTCCCTCTATTATTGCATTTGTATTGCTATTCTCTTTCTTTTTTTAATATTTCATGTTCACTTATCATTTTATTAAAATAATTTTGTAAGTTTTCATGGTACAAAATGTTAAGAGCTTGCAAAGACAATAATGTTTAAACTAATATATTAGAAAAAAAGGTACGGTACCCCAGCACATATATTATTGTTATACCAATAACTCTGATGGACAATTAAAGGTAATTTTTAAAGACTATTAATGTACAAGAATATTTGAGTCTGAAGCCGAACTATCGACGTTTTTTTCTAAATAATTGAAAATATTTTTTTACATTTTGCACTAGTGGAAACACAGTAAAAATAATAAGAACTTTTATTTGTTTTTTTTATTAGTTAGGTAACTTGCTTCAAAATCCAAACCCTGTTTATAAATATTTTTCCCAATTTCTTTAATGTTAAATAATAATGTAATATATTTTTTTTTTTTTTATAACTTGGTTTTAGATAATATATAACATATGATTAAGATAATTAATTACCATTATGAAAAACTGTACATTTTAAAAATAAATTTTATAAACTTAATTACTTAAAACTAAATTGATTGGGCATCTTTAAATTTCAAAAAATAAGCTTTATTTAAAAATGGTTAATAATTTAACATTTTATTCCAACAAAATAAAAAAAAAATAATTTATGACAGTATTGATATATTTGTTTCGACCTTTTAAACTTGTTAAGTATTGTTTATACAATTAGTAAGATGACTGATAATAAAAATTTGGTTTTAAACATTGTTTAGTATTTTTTATTTAATAAATCAAAAAATAAATATAATCCCTAATCACAAACTGAACCAAGTCAATTTAAAAATGTTGATATATGTCTTAAAGAAAAAAGTTTAGAGTATGGAAATGCATTCACTATACCATAATATATTATGTTTACAGTTCAAATGACTACTATGATATATTGAATGTACCACGTTCAGCCAAGCAGAATCATATAAAATCTGCATTTAGGAAAATGGCTAAGCAACTTCATCCAGATAAAAATCAAGATGATCCAGAAGCTACAGAAAAATTTTCAAAGTTAAGAAATGCATATGAAGTATTATCTGATGAAAGAATGCGTAAAGACTATGATAGGTGTGGTGAACAGTGCGTTAAAAAGGACAGCATGGCTGCTGGTCATGATCCATTTGCCAGTTTCTTTGGAGACTTTGGTTTTCATTTTGATGAATCACCTGGACAAAAAGAAATTCCTAAGGGTGGAACCATAGTTCTTGACTTACATGTTTCCTTAGAAGAATTATACAATGGTAACTTTGTGCAGGTATAAATTCATAATAATTTTCTTAATTTATAAAATATAATTTATGTTGATTTATTAAAAATATTAATGGATTGTCTAGGTAACAAGAAACAAACCGGTTATAAAACCAGCTCATGGTACAAGACAATGTAATTGTCGCCAAGAGATGATCACTAAACAATTGGGCCCAGGTCGGTTTCAAATGATGCAACAAAATGTTTGTGATGAATGTCCCAATGTAAAGTAAGTTATTGTTTTTTTCTTTTTTAAGCTTTTATAAGTTGCCTAAATTTGACTTTTATATTATTACAACCTAAAAGTGATTTATCGACAATTTGAAAAATTGTAATATAATTGAACATAATTTATTGTACATTTAAAATATAAACGTGAATTTAAATTTAATTTAGGACGTTCGTTTAATATATTTTTTAGAATGGTTACTGAAGAAAGCATGTTAGAAATAGAAATAGAACCTGGTATGAAAGATGGCCAAGAAACCAAGTTTACAGCAGAAGGAGAGCCACATATTGACGGAGAACCAGGCGATCTTGTTTTTAAAATAAAAACATCACCTCATTCTGTTTTTGAAAGGCGAGGCGATGATTTATACACTAATCTAACTATTTCATTACAGGTAATTAATTCATATTTATTAAACTAATTATTGGAAATTCTTCAAGGAAGTGTATTTAATAATTATTTTTTGGTATTTTTTTTTCGAGGTATTTAAGTGTTTATATCTACTTTGTTAGGTTCTTGTGTATTAAAAATTATCATGTAATTTAAAAGAAATACAATTAAATTAAATTTGAAGGTAATCATATAAACATTTTTTTTTTAAATAATAATTTTCTATTTAAGTGTTCCACAATATCATCTAAAATATATTTAAATTTAGTCAAAATAAATGTAATGAGCATTTTACTCATATTTTAACTAACCGAAATACATTAATTTGGCTCATAGTAAACTTGTTATTTTGTACTATGTAATAAATAATATTTGTAGGTGTTGGGTTTTGAATTATATATTAAAACAGATTTAATTATAATAAACAATTTATTTGTAGGACGCATTAATTGGATTCCAAACAGAGATAACCCAATTAGATGGTCGAAAAATTCTTATAGAACGAAATACTGTAACCTGGCCTGGAGCAAAAATTCGTAAAAAAGGTGAAGGTATGCCCAACTATGAAAACAATAACTTACATGGTTACCTCATCATCACTATTGACATCCAGTTTCCTAAAAATGACTTCACTGAACAAGACAAAGAAGGTAACTTATATTTTTAATGACTAATACTATTTCATAGCAATATCTGATTCTAAATTCAGACTTGAAATTACAGCTTAAAACTTATATTAACTCATACATTTTATATTTAATGTAACTGAGTATAGAAAAAGCTACTGCATTATCAAAACCGCCATCTGTAATGTTATTGATATTATTAGAGCCCGGATTTTAACGCTCTTAAAATCTTTAAAATAAGATGTTTTTATGCTTTATAGTTTCATCTAAATAATATTTTATACGCATAAATATGTTTTTGGGGAAACGTATGTTTTCTACACTTTATTTTAAGGTTCAGGTTTGTCATGTCAAAGTATAAAAGGAGGAATGTGTTAGATAAATATTTTTTTCACTCTGTGTGCAGCTTATTATGTCCACTATGTAGTGTCAACATTTTATAAAAAACCAGGAGCCATTCTGTCAGCTGTGTTAGCAAACCGTCATCTGTAGAGTAATAATGTATAATAGTAAATAGATGCTATCGGCTTAATACTCTGAACTGACTTAATACTCTATCTATTGTTTAATGGAAAATCACAGAAACTCACTTCCTTAGTTATACATCAAGCTAATGCAGAGGTTCCCAAACTGTGGGTTGTGTTATATTTTTGAATAATACATTTTTTAGACACGTGTTTTTATTACTTTTCGTTGCTGTTTAAATTTAGTTTTATCATAAATCGTTATCTGCATTTGTGACAATTACAGTTACAATTTACTGTGACTGTGTTAGCACTAAGCAATCACATTAATAGTTATTGAAAAGATAGCAATTTATTGCTATAATAAATTCCAGCAAAAAAAAAAAAAATGTTATTGATATTATTGTGGGCCTCAAAAATTTTAATAATTTCCAAAATGGGTCGTACCATAACAAGTTTGGGAACCTCTAGTCTTTGTATTTACAGTTGATTTGTAAAAACTAACCCAAGGTTCATAGTTAAATTTATAAAAACATCCTTATGTACTTATGTATTATTTATGGTAACATTAGTATTAATTTTATCATGCTTAAAATCAATTTAAAAACAAAAATTAATGAAGATTATAGAAAATTACAATTATGACATTATTATAATGAATTTCATTTTAGTGGTCAGTGTTTTTAAATATTATTTAAACTTACTAATTACAAACAAGATAATGGTAGTATAATTGATTACAGTTAATATTTCAAATGTTTGTTTTTTAGATCTCAAAAGAATATTAGGCGAAAACTCAATCAATAAATTATACAACGGTCTGGATGGATACTGAGGAGAAGAATATCTTTCAAGTCATGAGTGCCACAAAAGATATTTTTCTTTTCATAATTCTGTGATGTAAATGATGTAGATTTATATTCAAATTATTTACTAAAATAAATGTGTGCTTATGAAATTATTTATTAAGTTAATTGTGCAATGTGCATACTAAGATGACCCATGGTTTGTATTAATTAACTGAAAAATTATTAAGGGTCGTGTATTTTTTTTATTCACAATAAGCACTCTATAATTACTGCCCTTGAAATGTATATATATGTAAGCTGTTTTATGTAGAATTAATATTTACAAAATACAATTATTATCTATCATATGACATTGTGTTATATTGCCAGGTATGTTTAAAATAAGTCTATTGATTGGTAGAGGCTAAAATTATTTTTTTTTTTTAATCAAATCTGATATATAAAAAAAATAATCAAACCATTAATTTTTAAAAGCTCCAATAATCATTTATTTTGAAGTATATTATATAAATTATTTTAAAGAAGCTTTGGCACTTCCACTCATGTTTGTTATAAGCGCAGAATATGAAACTACAGATAGAGTACGGATATGAGTCTACAGATTTTTAGGGTTTTATCCAGCCCTACAATAATTAACATCCCATTTTTCAAGAAGACTTAATATTTATTATTATTCGCATTTCAGAGTTTGGGGTATTCAAATTTCATATGTTACTAAGCCGACCCAAAGAGTCTAACTTGGGAACTCCCCGGCTTCAGTTGTTTTAATTTATATGATACAATTCAGAAATCTTTTTTTACTTAAGTTAATTGTTGTATACGTTTTTTAATTGATTGCTACTCATAGTAGTAGAATATATATTTTTAATTATTACAAACTATTGAAAATTAATTATTTTTATATTTTGTTTCATAAATTATTAATTTTCATCATTTTTTGTTTCGAATATAAAGAATGCATTAAATTATCAATATTCATAAAGAGGATTGATATTTAACATGACAATATCGTAACTTTAACATTAGACTTTGAGAGAGTAATAAAATAACAATATTATTGTCAATAAACTTATTTCAATTGTGTTCTGAGAATTCCAGACGAATTACCGACACCATAGGTACAAATGGATTTATGTACAATAACACATAAGACAATAAATGTTATACAATGTGTAACTTATGAAATCTTCAAAGATTTTTGGGTGGTGTTTTAGCTATTTCCAGTTGGAAACCTGCCCAAAACATTAAAAAATCATCTAATAAAATACTTCAACTGGCCTCCATAATTTAAAAAATAATAAGATATAAGTAAAAAAAAACCATTATTTAGTATTATAAAAATGTATATTTAAATAAATTATAATAATAAAATTTGTATTTAATGGTAAAACGCAAAAATACACTTGTGTAACAGTTAACAATAATAATGTGCATAAATAATCATTAAGAATATGAAATATAAGTATACCAACATAAATACTTGTATTTATAATAATAATAAATGTACATCACAATTTATTTATCAACAGCGGGCTTCCTAATTGTCATACGATATACAAAAATATTATTAATTTACATTGCAAAAGTCTCTAAACTAATCAATGATCACAATATTATTTCATTTTTATAACTTCTGGTTAAAGTCTTGTAAGGCAACACAATGCTGTTCAATAATACTACCTCAGATTCGACGTTGACTCCACAACCTATATTATATGACAGTAAATCTTTAGTAATGTAATGACTATCATACAAATAAAACCAACCGAGTATAGTTATGGATGGATTGAGGCGACCATCTAAGGCGTTAAATAAGGGCAGCTGAGGTGTCATTTTTGCATATGCCACATTAGGATTAGGGTCGGAGCACGCCGCACTCCCTTCTACACGGCACCAAGCACCAACTTTAGCACGTCTACCAATAATACTGTGCATCACCTAAGTACATTAATTTGTAAAATATTATAAAAGTGATGTCCTACCCAGACATTTCTAACTAAAATACATTTTTATAATTATATACAAATCAATTCAACAATTAATATTTTCATATGATAATGTTACAACAGCACATGTCCACAGATTCTTGTATTCTTACGGGTAAATAAAACTACTATAATAATCAAACTATCTATATGAAGCGAGTTTCTATAGATTTCAAACCATTTTAAGAACATCATAGAAGCATACTAAATGTTTTTTTAACATTGACAACTAACCCAACCACCAATTTAAACTGAAGGATATTTTATTTACCTTTAGTACATTGATTTTATTATATTTCTACACAAAAAAGATTTAATGAAAATACTTAAAATTACATTTTACAAATGTTTATAGATAGATATATAAGGAGAAACAATTATTTTCTATAATACTATAATATTATATTATATAATTATACACTTCATATTATTAAATGCAATACACGAAAACATAACAAAATTAGGTACAAAGAAAAAATGTATTCTATACTCTGTCTCAATAGAAAAGAAAATCAGTAGGCCCACAGATTTTCCTCTACGCATCTCCCACCAACCATCTAGTGTTAGCAGAATCACATGATTCTAGAAGTGGCAATCGAATCAATCTCGATGCGCTTTAGGTGATTGTTCTTTTTTGTGATAGAGTATAAGTATTAACTAGATCCTATACACACTGTACAATTAATAGCAACATTATGATTTTAAACAACCTTCCTATTTAAATATTTTTTTTTTAAATTTAAAATAACAGTAAATTAATAGTGTTAAATTACCAGACTATGTTGACCAATGACAGCATCTTGTAACACAATAGACTCCTTAATACGTACACCTTGATCAATACAAGCTCCTTCTCCTACACTTACATTTGGACCCAGCTATAATAAAAACATTAAAATTATAATATAGGTTCAATAATTTAAAAACTATTAACAAATACCAAAATTACCAATATTTTGTAAGATATTGTAAAAAGAATAAATATTTTTTTTAATATTTCAATCAAAAATGAATAATAAATATGAAATAAAGTGTAACTAACTAATGCGGTAGGATGCACTAGAGCTGATGGATGCACATACACATTTCCAATTGTTGAATATCCACCTTTAGGATCTGCAGTTGCCAATCGACATTTAACGGGTGAAGGCAATGGTAAATCAATTAACTCTCGTTGTAGTAACCGTTGCCGTTGTTGGCGCAACGCTAAGTAGTGACGATTTGCATAGATTGCTGCACCAGCAGTCTTTAATTGGGACCACCAGTTACGTGTGGTTGCTGCCAATGCCACTCCACCACAACCAGCATCTTTCTTTATTCTGCTACCACCATCACCCCCACTACTGCAACTACTTCCAGATTCCCCTGCCAGTCTACGTAGCACATCTTGTTCCATCCACATGACCATGGCAGCAGCAACTCGTTCTTCAGTTGGCTTTTGTTGCTGCTGTTGGTTAATATTATTTTTATTACTGCTATAAACAGAGTTAAATGTATTTGTAAATTAAGGAACTTTTATTTTAAATTCTTACTCTGTTCACCTATTACCTAGTAGTATACCTGGTGATGTGTTGTTGATTACCATTTCCGTTACTGTTAGACATTTCTAAATGAATATCTGCTATAGTATCAAATAACCGTGGGGAACACAAATAAACACCGCAGTTCACTGTGTTTGAAACAAATGTAGATGGCTTTTCAACATAATGCTGTATGATATTTGTTTCTTTATCTACAACCATGCAACCTACACATAATGAATTCATTAACAATGACAAAACATTTTGGTCATTAAATTAACCTATCAAGTATTAACAAGATATATTATATAGCATACCATAGTGAACAGATTGTTGACGAGTAGTTTCAGTAGCCATAACAGTAATTAGCACTGGTTGTTTTTGTTGATGCTGTGACTGGAGACTATTATTATTGAAATGCATATCAAGCATCTCATCTAATGGAAAGTCAGCACAAACATCACCATTCATTACAAAAAATGCCTGCACTTGCTCATCTTCACTAGTGCCTAACGGAGCAAGAATCGTATCGCGAAAATGATATAGGCCACCAGCTGTACCTAAAGCATCAGGCTCGCGTAGGTACCTACACACATCACAATCGTATGATTAATACACAATGAAAACAATTATAGAATATACAATGAAATAATGTGTTTATTAAAATATATCAAAGTAGGTATTAGTTAACAAAACCATACCTAATTCGCAGAGATGGATAACTCTGAGTGGCTGTAAGTAAAAAGTCTGCCAGTTCATCATCTCCATAATATCCCAATAAAAGCACTTCAGCAACACAATATTTGCTGACATTCCTCTTATTATCTACCTCAGAAATTGAGTTGTGTTGTTGACCCAGACGGTAACAGGCATCTATATGGTGCTGAACAACAGGGAGACCAGCCACGGGGAAAAGCGGTTTAGGTACATCCAACGAAAGGGGTCGGAATCGAGTTCCTGTAAAAATTCAAAGATCTAATAACAAGAATGGAACACAACAAACGTGTGTAGTTGAGCAAAAAATGTAATACCTTACCTTTAGATGGCCCACCGATCAGAATTACTGCTTTCAGCATGATCATTTGAACCTACAAGACGACAATAAGTTTATGTTTGACGACGACAACCAACAGCGCAAAACAAAGTTGATGGTGACTTATTTTTTGGGTTGCTGAGTGCAGTTGGTTCTACGCGCACATGGGACGTGGTGCCATGCCAAGAATACAATCCTGAGAGATACCACTGCCGGAACTATTGATGTTACTATAAAATCATCAGAGATATCACCGATGCGGAAACAGCTAGAAAATAAAATCGATTGTACATTTATTGCAGAACACTGAATTAAATTAATAACTTACCGCACGTTATCGTAAGTGGTGCATGTAACAAATGGCACTTGGTAATTCAATACTTCAATAGGAATATTACAGTACTCAACAGTCAGCAACGAGAAATAATAATAATAATATTCTCACGTCAGGGGCCAACGGTTGATTTGATCAGCTATCGCGAGAGGATGGATTATCAGCGAATATTGTAAACAGTAAACAGCGACAACCATCACAAATGTTATCAGGTGCGGGAGTTGTTATCAACGGGTCGCCACGAACCCGCGATAAATATGAAGAACAAAATTAGAAATAATTAATAGAATATAGAAGTTAGAAGTTTAGAAATTGATCCGGATTCCGAGCGGCGAGCACTAGCACGTTTAGGCTAAGCCTTGGTAGGTAGGTAACTATTATTTCATTCGTAGACGACAGCCGTTCCTCTGTTGAGAGATGACGACTTCGGACGATGAATTTCGAAGTATTATGTAGGTAAGCTAGGTACGTAATATTAATTATCTATATAAAATATATACCTTCAATGAAACTTCCATTTAACAAAATATATTTGAATACCATACCAAATATTTTATTATTCAGAATTAATCAATAATGTTATAAGTACCTATCGATTGTTAAATGGTTTTTTTTATCTGTCATATTACAACAATAATGTACACACAGACGACACACATATCAGAGGCGTGCTAATTGGGAAGGGGAGTAGGGTGTGATATCGCTCGCTTATTTTTGTTGTATAAATTATATAATCAATTTAAAACAATGAATATATATTTGCCACTATATAATGTGGTCTGAGAATATGGTTAAAAATTCATATCGTCCATTCCTCCGACATTTAAAGAAATCCGAGCACAACACTGATGAAGATACATAGGTACTTAATACCTATACTTGAAAATCAATTTGTACTTATATACTTTTAGCCACTCCACCCCTTATTTTGTGTTATTTCTACAACTGAACATTACATTCTAAACGTTGACGTCAAAGTTTTCAACTATTACAATTTAGAAATAAGAGCTCACAACATTATTGTACATAGATATGTAATCATTTATTTATATTGCACTATTTTTATTACATTTTTATATGTGATTATCAACAAATAAATGTATGAAAATATAAATTTTAACGTAAACATAATGCATTTTATTGATAAAAAACAAGTAATTAATATTTCACTGTAATATTGTGTATTATTTAGCACTTGACATATTTTGCGTGTGAGTGCGAGTGCACAATGGTATAAGGGGTATCATCATACTCAAATGACACGCACATACACTTTTTTTATGTTATTGCCTATATTAAACTCCTTTAAAACCGACTGTTTGAAAAAAAGCTCATTTGAAATCTAATATTTAAAAACTGAGATTTTAATAAATCGTTTAATATGATTAAAAATAACTAACCAGTTGCTTTTATAGATTTTTTCAATATTAGAATCATTAGAATAATAAAAAGCGGGTAATTTGGATGTCGCTCTGCTGTACAGTAGGTTACAAGTGGGTCTCTGTAATGTATGGTGTTAAATTTGAATTCAATGATATAAAATCATTGTATACCAAAACCATTCTGAGCGAGACGGTCTGTCAGTCAATAATATTACTTAGTAATTTAGTATATTTGATGATATTATTGTGATTCGAGTAATTTGTTTTACTAGTAAGCATTAGTATTACACAGTAGATCAAATTCATTTTTGCCAAAAAAAATACACTTGAAAAGTCATTGATTACAAAGTTTAATAATATACTTTAAAAGTTTCAAGTACCCACGAATAATATTTTAATTTACTAAAAAATCAAATCATTATTCTTGATTATTTAATATGTAATTTCGTTCACATTTGAACATAAAATTTTTTTTTTTTAAAACTGTGATATATTTTTAGATTTTTTGATTACAGAATAACCTACTTGCATGAAACTTTGTTTTAAATTTTATACACTTAGCTATGGTTGAAAATTTTAAAAATTGTATAGGTTCTGAAAGAAGTGATGAATGTATTGATTTTACAATGATGTGTGTTTTTTTTTTTTTGTGTCTCTCCTCACGGTTTGGGACAGTAAAAGTGCTTCGATTTTCTTCAACAGTAACTTTTCTGGTAGAAGAATGAATCTAGTTGATGCAATCAGGAGGTTAAAATTTAAAATTCCCAAAATTTTCCAAACACGACAAGAAAAACAAACAAAAAATTAAGGAAAACCGAACATTTTTACTCAAAATCAGTTTTCGAAAAAATCGATTTTGATTTTTAGTGTAACTCTACAAAAATGACTATAGATATATATATATAATTTTCACTGAATTATGTTTGTTCAAGCATTTTCTATTCACCATTCGATTTTCAAAATATTTAGACTCATGCTGTTGAACTATTTGTATTTAATTTTAAAAACTAAGATATAAAAACAATTTTTATGAATTTGCAACTCAAAATCATTTGCACATTTTCGTGATTTTCACAAATATTTTCAAAATTCTAAATTCAAACACTCATAAACAATTATTGTGGATTTACATTTACATTTTTTATTTACACTAACAATAACTTACGAGAAACATTGTATTAATTTTTTAAGTTTTTTGACGAAGCGAAAAAATTGTTATCGACATTAGTTTAAAAAAAAAAAAATAATCAAAAATTTCATATGCCTATCAATAGTTCAACATGAGTCAAAATATTTTTTAAATTGTATGGTGTATAGAAAATAGTAACAAACATTTAGTGAAATAATTCTAGATGTTTTTGAAATACTATTGGGAATTTTTACTTTTTACTTTCAGTCTCCTACCAGAAAAGTTGTTACTGAAGAAAATCAAACCCTCGAAAATAAAATAAAAATAAAAAAAACACACATCATTGTAAAATCAATACATTCACTCCGCTCAGAATCTAAAATAAAAGGAATATTATAAATTCCTACAAATATTTCTACAATTTTCCCACACAGCAATTTGAAAATATATAAATTTCCACGATATTTGAAAAAGGTTTTACAGCCAATATTTGTTTCAAAATATTGGTACAATATTTTGTAAACATTTGATCTATAAATATTTTTACCCAAATATGATGAACGCATTTTGAAAACATGGTATACCAAATATTGTAAAACTGTGTTCCAATCAATGTTTTGAAAATGTTTGATTTGAAAATATGTACCCCC